ACTATGGAAACTAATCTTAACATAGTGGTCGTATTGCAGGACTAAGCCAGGAAACAGCAGAAGGTATAGTGCTTAGCAGTGCTACTCTCCAGGTTGTATCACCTGTGCAATATACCTAAGTGAACTGCACTGCATTAATGTAACTAAGCAAAGAGGAGTAACAAAGAGTAACAAAGACAGTCTCTATGCAACATAGCTGGGTCATTGTTAGCAAAAGAACTGAGAAAATTCCAACCTGTCAATGTTTTTCAGTATTAGATCCCACCATCTCAGGATCATGTGACCAATACAGTTTGGAGATTTTGTATGTTTAGTTTCCTCTTCACTTTTAGTTTGGAGGGGGAGGGGAATCAGAAGTTGTTTTGGAAGACAAGACTGCAGCAAACATCAGAAGCCACAACAGCTTCTTTTAAAAGGAATTTTTGAAAACTGACTTATTTGTGAAAATAAAACCATATCAGACTCTGCCACTTGCTGTTAAATGCTTACATCTGTTGTGTAAATTTTATTAAGAACATCTGATCCTTTTCACTCTGCTAGAATTTCAACTTTCATAAATGCCACCTCAAGCTACACACTGCAAAGTGGACCGGATTTCTTTTCAATTATTTTTTTCAGGCTCCGTTCACAGAAAATGTGGTGTCAATTTTACTTCTAAAAAAAGTTATGTGCTTAAAAGTTGTCTTTAAGGCCTTGAAAATCTGTCAGACATCTTCTAAGTGAATGCAGAACTTCTGGACTGTATCAGATCAATTTCCTAGCCCTTCATCTTTCTGCAGGCACATTACTCTGCTTTCTAGGTAACTGCATCTAACTGATCTAGTTATCTGCAAGTATGCAGTGTAATACTAGAAGTAATTGTCAAATACCATTGAGAATAAAAGCTCAAAGACTTCTCACCCTGAGTTTTATTAACATCTTTGCAGTGCTGCAGAGATCAGTAAACTGCTTTGCTAGATGCTGGTTGTTGTTCAAAATGGTTTTGTGTGTCCATTACGTGGTTGTGTAAGGCAGTGGGGAATAAAGTCTACTTTTGGAGCATCTCACTTTTTTGCACAACAAATGAGGGACAATCTTCTTTATCCCTCAACAACAAAAGTCAGTAGGACTGCTTTGTTTTGGAGCTCTTTTGCAACATAAGCCCATATCCTCACTACAGCAATGGAACCTGTATATCCTCAATATACATATACCCTCACTACAGGAATGGAACCACAAAGCTCAGTGGAGTTTGCAGAATATCTAGAAGCACAGCAGAATATTTACCTTCATACTGACAATTGCTACTCGGAGATTTGTCCCGCCTAGATCCACAGCCAGAGCACTCTGTGTTTCTAGAATATGGTCGATATCTTGAGAGATGTTATCTTTGACTGGAGGAAAACAAAACTTCTTTTGCAATGGTTCTTTGAGGTCAATAGATTTAAGGAACTTCAAAATCCTTGGAACAGCATTACCATCTCCATATATTTTTGAGCTATAATACAAAAAATAAAAATCCATGTAATTGGAAATAACACTGCAATCTAGAAAGTTCATTATAAGACACAAAGCTGTAACACTGTGTCATTACAAAATTATGATCTGGCTGCTATGACAATACTGCAGCTCACACAACACAAGTGTCATGAGATATGGTAGATAGTGACAGTAGTTTTAAGATCACACAACAGGGTGTACAAGTTTGGCACTAGCTCTATTTTGGAATATGAAACTGGAATGTAGAAAACTGGGAAGCTAATAATGCCAAAAAACCTATAAAATTAAAGTTTAATGAAGGGACCCACATCATAAAGCAAAGCAGCAATACAAAAATTATGGACAGCTTGTCTATGTGCTACAGGTCCAAACAGGATGTACTTATCACAGAGATGACAACTACATAATAATAACTCTACATTCATGTCAGTCTTCAACATGCAGGTCTGTTTTTAAAATACCATCATACATGTGTCAGACATCTGGTATTACAGAATTCACTTTTATTGCTCTATTAAGGTTCTTAAGAAATATACTCTCAATTCTTGTCCTTAATTAGACAAATATTATCTCTATAAATTTACAAGAACTTCTATGTTAAAGAAATGAGGGTCAATACTGTACGGCTGAGGAATAAAAAATGCATCTTGCTACAATCCTGCAGCTTCCCTGGAAGTTTGCACTCAGGACTCTCTCCATATCATGCCTGAGGTCAATTCAACTCTAAAGCAGTGTGTCCTTCAGGCACAAATCATTACAGGCAGACAGAACATCCTCCCCCATACTGCTCCTATGCAACAAGCTCTCTCAGTCATGCTGATCTAAGTTAACATATGAATTCTGTCCTCTTGACTTTCTGTTGGATGTTAAATGACTATATATATCAAAACATTACTAGTAAACTTATGCTCTACAGATACTAATCTGCATACCAGACACTGCAGTAAGATTCTGAAATGAAAAATACTTTGTAACCTCAGATTAGTGCATGAAAAGCACCGATGAAATATGATGAACCACCTCCTGACTAAATGCCTTTTACTCTACAGATTTTAACACCCCCTCCAATGAATTAAGATATATGTACTCACCATGGGTATTGCTTACCAAACTGCAGCTGTAGAGCATGCAGAATCTTATCCTGTGTATCAGCATCACGAACATGAAGGACATTTTCACCTAGATGACAAAAGTTAACATAATAGGACAGATCAGCTTCTCCAATTACATTAGAGGACAAGAACTGGTTAGACATGAAAACAACAATTATTTTTCTTTGCTATGAGGAGGAAAGATGCCCACCAGGTCGACAATGTTCTTCATCAACTGTGTGCCTCCCCTTGCTCCCAATAAAGCAGTAGTGACAACTATGATATCCTGTACTGCACTACAAAATACTAGAGAGTAGAATATTAGTCTGCAACGGAATTCTATTATTAGCAATGCACAAATGAAAACGAGATAAATGGCTATTTGTGTCATGTCTGCATAGCTGAAATACCACAATACAGTTACTTCCTGAAGTGGTGAAGAGTTCATACTTTTGAAATGAAATTTTAATACATATCAAGCATCAAACCAGCTATAAAGGAAAAAAAAGAGTTGCCTATTCTGCTAAATGGAATCCACTGCAAATGGAGATAGATTTTCACTTGTCTACAGATAAAAGTCCCATTATCTTACGTAAAACACATAAACAGCATTAATATGATACAGGAAGAGCCAGTGAAGCTTTAAAATGGGTCAAAATTATGTTGCACTGATAATGCAAGATGGTCTCTATCAAGCATTCATTTTACTTCACCCTGTGGAAGAAAAAAACCCCTCAGAACCACAAGGAATTAGTTAAGCAAACATGTACCTGTTTCTCTTCCTGTCTGACGTGTGCCCAGGTTGATGACAGGTGTACCAAATGCTCCCACCTCTCTGACACCACAACTGCTGTTACCAATCATACAACCAGCATGAGCAACTAGCTGAATGAACTGGTCAAATGGGACATGCTTTACGGCCCGAAAATTGGGATGATGTTCAATGCCCTTCTTCCTCATCACCCGAACCATCTCTTTGCTTCCTGCAGAAAAATGAGGTAGAATAAATTATTCGAGTTCTACTTTTAGAATGGAAGCCCAAAAGGAGGTAGTAGCTAGCTATTCACTGAGTTGGTTTTGTTTTAATCCTTACAGTGTAAGATGCATGGCTGGGCACTTAAGACCAAGTTTGATCCAAAAAATCTCTTTCTAGTTTTAAGTTAATTTAAAGGGCACTAATACTGCTCCAACATGTCACATGGTTTCCCTTCATCTTCCTTTCCACACTGAAAAGCTGAAATGTCCTCCAGCACCATGAACATGGGGCTGCAGAGGATGCAGACACGATGCTGAGACCACCCTGCTATTTCCATCTGCCTGTAGGGCCTGGGATAAAAGCACTCTTTTAAAGACAATCTCTTATGTGTCACTCTGCCATGAAGGTATTCCACTCACCTGCATCCACATTAGGGAACAGAACAAGTGTTCTCTTGTTGAACGAGATGAGTGCATCTAGTGTTAGCTCGAACATCTTTATGGAATGTTTAATATCTGTGGTTACAGGATGCTGCAGAGCAACTATATAATCTCTGGTTTTGACATCTTCACCTGTCAAATAGAGCCCAAGACAAGTTTTTTCAATTGGCATAGAATAGCAAGAGGAAGCAAAGACATACTTTTGAAACTACTGATGTGAAAGCAAAGCCTCAACAGTCAAGGCACCAAATAGAGTATCTAACATTAAGTATCAATGCTACAATAAAACTCAAGGGAGTTACATGCAGAGGGCTCTAACTTATTCTTTGCCTCTCTAAGCAAGTCTCATAACTTTAGAGACCACTACCTAAATCTCAATGAACGATTAACTTGCCAGACTACTTCTAAAGCTCTGCAAGACTATACCAGGGTCAAGTGTCTGTTCTCACTCCAGTGTAAATCTGGAATAACAGGGAAATCCTGAAGCTGCTCAGGTTTTTTGTCAGCTGTCCATCCTCAAGTAAAGAATTCATTCCCATTGCTTTAAAATAGTCATACTCGTTTTGGTATATCTGCTAAAAAAATATATCTGCAAAATATTCTCCTACTGATTGAAGAAGATTCCAGCTTGCAACTATGCACGTTAATGTGCCATATAGGCAACCGCTTTGTCAAAAATAAAAAGCAAACAAGATTCCATTGTTTACAGGAATTATTTGTAAGTCAATGAATATGAAACACCACAAGCCTTAGGCACATGTTACCCTGTTGCAGTGCATTCCTCAAAAAACCTCAAAATCTTAATACAAATTCCCTTTGATTTCTTTTATATTAGGCTTTGATTCTATTCAAACACACCCCTCTGCACCAAAATAACTTTTTATGTAAGACTGTTCTGGTTTTAAATTGTTCAGCTCAGAGAAATTACCCATTTATGGAAGTATTTTTTTGACTTGGCTAAAGGATCAGAAGTGTTAACTAAGACAGATGAATAGCTTTTCAGCTGCACATGGCAAAATACAGAATAAAAGAAAATGCAGAAAGAAAGAAATACCAGGTTCTATTGCCAAATATACTATTTTTTTTGACTGATAACCTAGTTACTGATTTGTCTAGTGTTGAAAGTCATATGAAAACCACAAAAAGGGGACTGCTTACCTAGCCACATGCTTATGATACTCATGTAGTCCTTGTTTTTGGCAGAGAGAAGCTTGTCATACGAGGGACAGCCTGCTAACAGGATGCGATCATGGTCTTCACACATGGCTATCAAATGCTGCTCTGCACTCCTTGTGCAGCACACGTGGTAATGGGCCAGTTTGGTTATGGCATGTCTGATGGAGTCATCGATGGTCCCACTGACCTCCCCACCTTCAATGTGCAGAATGCGAATATTCATCAGGGCTGCAGACGTGGCCAAGGCCAAGGCATCGAATCTGTCCCCGTGAACTATCATTATGTCAGGTTTCAGGCGGTTGAGGACATCTGGTAACTTGACTAAGGCAAGACCCACAGACTCCACCATAGCTGCCTCATCCTCCCCTCTCACAATGGTGTGCAATCTTGTATGAATATCAAAGTCATCTTGTTCAATCATACGATAGGTATTGCTGAAGGTGAGAGAAAAAGGGTTAGAGTAAATACAGCTTGGTTTTACAGCAACACAGCTGGACAAAATAAATGCAAATTAGAATAGCTGTACTAGGGTTTGAACAAAGGCCTCCTTAACACATCTCCTTCATTAAGTAAAGTAGTTTTTAAGATTTTAACAGAATATTCTCATCTATATGAAGATCCTCATATTCCAAGCATTGAGTTTTTCTAGACTTTTAATGAGGAGCTTTGCAGAATGTGTTCTAGAAATCCTCAAACTCTTTCTTTACATGCTTGCACAGCTCTTCCAAGAAGAGATGTGGCATGATTTCCTTTCAGAAAAGGTATGTTTATTGACTTTGCTGGACAAATGTGTAAGTACAACAGATATGATGCAAAGCTGAGCCTGTATGTCTAAGGAAAACATGCTGCAGCAAGCACATGTTATTCAGATTCTGTGTTTCAGCTGCATCAAGGCTTACAGACTCGCAGACTTAAGAAACCTCTGCACATAGAAGCCTTATGTTCAAAGGAAACAGACTTTCACACTAAAGAAAAAAGGTTTTCCACACATACTACCAGCCTCATTCCATAATGAGAAAGTTAAAACATTCCTTGAATACTGGGAATTTTTATTGTTTACAGTTATGTATTTAAAATAGGAGAGATCACACATCTGTATAGAATTACCTGTGTACCACATTCACTTAAACCTAACCTTAGTAATCTGCATACTTGGGCTGGAATATGAGATTAAAAAATAGAACTTTCCCAATTTTGTTTTCAACCCATCTGATATTCACTGAAGGATTACACTTTTAAACTCATTTAAATCAGATTTAATTTTCCTTAAATCTACTCTCCTACTCACATTCTGCAAACTAGTATCTCACAATCTGCAACCTGAGCAGAGATAGCAAAGCCTATAAAGTGCTGCCACACAAGAAGCAAACTCCATTCTACATAATTAAAACCACCCCCCTCTCTCTCTCTATCTATTCAATTCTGCTCACTACTGTAACACACAGAATATATTCCCACAAGTAACTTGTCAGGTAATTTGGGTTTATTTTGGTTTAGTTTTGTTTCAATTCAGGTTACTTTTGCGGTGTTGAATTCACTTTGCCACGTTATTGGGTGGAAACAACGGCCAGTACAAAGCAAGAAACTAAGCTCTTTAATATGCAGAAAGAAAATGATCAGCAGTGGAACTTCCTGTCGCCTGAGATAACGTAACTTCCTCCCACCGTAACCCATAAAATGCCAATATTTCACACTAGAACTGTAAGTGTCTTTACTTGAAGATATGCTTAACATTCCTAAAAGTTCAACAATGCAGATATGCTGCAGATTTATGCTACAGTCTGATTTTGTCTTGCAAAGTAAGTGTTTCACTTATTGGGTTCAATCTGGTACATGCAGCCTGAGGAAAACAAATCGCAATCCCACAATCCATGGAGGAATATGCATGCTCTTCCTTCTACCTTTTCCCCAGCAAACAGGAGATGTGAGAAGTCCTTCCAAAGAAAGGATTTGGACTAAGACATTTCATCCTCCCAGGCAGGTGATCTGACTACTTACTTATGGAGTGTGATGGAGAAGGACCCTAAATCTCTCCCACCTAACCATACCCAATATATCTATCATTTTGCCAGGAAGAGACAACCACACTTTCCTCCACAATCTTGGAAGAACTAACAGTATTCCCCTGGGATGTAGTAGGGATAAGTACTTTCACCAATAATGATGCAAAGTGGAAGAGTTGCAACAAAATCAGTGAGGACTCTTTCCTCTGTGAAAATGACACAAAACTTTCTAAAAGTCACGATGCCAAGGATTTTTTTACCTAACATTCATTGGTAACACCCCAGATATAGATTGGTAGAAAGATAAAAATTCACCTTACCCGTAATCATCAATCAGGTGGGAACCAAGCACTATGACATCAAGCTCAAAAGACTGTGGTTCTGCCTTAATACCAAACATAATGGGAGCTAATTTTGAATAATCAGCACGGTTGCAAGTAGCAACACAAACATGAAGTTTGTGGTTGTTTCCATTCTTCTCCATGACTTCCTTTTGTTTCTGTTTTGAAAGATTCTTGAAGTACACCTCCTGACATAACAGGGAGAGGGGGAAAAGTGCACCATTAATGATAGAAATTTATTTGCAGCAAATGGTACATTTCACGAACAGTACACCCAAGTGCAGCCCAGAACTGTGGACACATAGTAACTAATCCATTGATAACAGACAACTAATACCTTACAGTACCTATCATCAGAAGATTTTAGAAAAGAACAGATTTAATTTTTTTAATTAAAACTAAATGTTAATACTTCTGTTTCTACAAAAATGTGTAAAAATTCTATATAAACCATATTTAAGTACTATGAAGTTCAACTGTAGTTAAGCAGTAAAATGACTGCTCCCTGTTCAAATGGAAACTTCTTCTGCTTTTACATAGAAAAATTATTGATGCATTAATAAATGAAAGACAGAAAATCTCATATTCCAAAACCACAGAATGGAACAAACTGCTAAGATGCATCCACTGACAGACTCTGTGAACAAAATGAGAAAGTTTTTGACTGAGTGAGTTTACATATCTTCATTACACACATTTTGGCCAGGTAAAGCAAGTTAAACATTGACTTCTAAACCCTTACATAGTGTTTTATAGGCCAAAGTACACCAAGATATTCAATAATACAGTATTAGGTTACAATAAACCTATTAAGAAAGTGTACAGCAATAACTTCCCCAAAATAACCCAAATGTCCTCTCCCCTCAAACAGAAATTACTAAGGTGTTAGCAAGAGTTTATCAGGACCAGATGTTTGTAAGGTTGGGTGGGGTTTTTTTGTTCTCCTTCTGAAAATAACTATTTTAAGTAAGTACCTTACTTTTGGTATGTCAAACTTTTGCTGCACTTAAATGTCAAGTAAGCTTTTTCTGGATTAATGTACAAGGGTTGCTCATCTCTGACTCAGAGTGATATCAATCTCTCACTGGTTTTGTCATGTAGGGAAGCACTTTCTGAGCAGCTCCCACACAAGCATGACAATACATACATGACAATACTAAAAAGAGCAATTTCATGCTCCTTTTAGACTACATTGAGATTTTTTTCAGTAAAGTTCTAAAGAAAGGCCACTGTGACATCCCACTCTTATGAAACTTATAAAATTCAGCAACTTTTCAAGATTTCCCTAGTTTTAGGACAGATTAGTTTGAGTTTTATCACACATACATGTTAAATGATACACAATATATAAAACAATGTTTTGGTATAACTATTGCTAGGGTGATTAGGAATCTATCCCAAGCAGTCAAAGGTAAGAAATGTTTCTAGTCTCCACTTACAGTCCATGATAGCTCTGCAAAACTATGACTGCCAGTGATTTTTTTAATATTTGAACTCCAACAACCACGATTC